TGCGCCCCCACCCCCAGCAGGCCAAGGCCGGGGGCAGGGCACTGCCCGGCGGGGAAGGCGCCTCAGGGCCTCCCGCATGAAGAAGGGGCCGCAGGAGGGTCCGGAGCGGCCTGCCACAAGGATCGGGGAGGCCCTGGGCGCCCCAGCCAGACTGTGCCCGGCGGGCGCCAGCTTCCCCAGGGCGGCAGGCTGAGGGCGACGCACACAGGCCCGGCACCACCATCGAGCAGCAGCAAGGTGCCTGGGCCCTGCGCTCACAGCGCCTCGAGGACAGTGCCTGTGGGCAGCGCCTGTGGGCAGCGCCTCATGGCAGCACAGGACACAGCTCTCAGTGGCCTACTCTGCCCAGGACCATGCAGGGGTGTCGCTGCCCAAAGCACCAGCACGTCAAAGGACGCAGCCCCAACTCAAGGGCCCAGGAAGGGGGGGGGGGCGAGGGGGGGGGGGGGGGCAGGCAAGAGGAGAGGGAAGGCCCGGGGGGGGCAGGCCTCTGTGCGTCTCCTCTTTTTTAAAGGTGTGTCGTGTTTGTTTATGCACACGCAAGAGCTGGGGCGCAGGCCGGAGGTGCAAGGGGTGAGGGGGATCCCCAGAGACAGAGCGGGGAGCAGAGCAGGCGGGTCCACTGACACACTGCTGAGGGGGCAGCAGGGAACAGGAGGGGCTGCTGCACCCTGCGGGTCACACCCTGGCCAGATGGGCGTAGGCCGCAGCGGGGACAGCCTGAGGCTGACCGCCAGCCCCAGAGAGGCCTCTGAGTGGGCCCGCTGGCTCACAGTGCTCTCTAGGTGGCGACCCCGCCCCTTGCCATGTGTGCCCGTCCACCTGCAGCCCGCCCCAGTGCCACGGTGCCCCCTCCTGCCTGACCGCAGCGGCTCCAGCCTCTCCAGGTCCAGGTGGAAGCTCCACACCGGACAGCTGTCCGCGGAGACCAGCTCCCAGTCCGGCCTCCATGTAGTCGTCTCGGGTCTGAGGCTCTTGGCCGGCGTCTCGAGGGCGGGCGCCGGTCCGTATTGACCCCTCCAGCTCTCGGTCACCGGTGCTCCGGCCGCCCCGCCCCCTTCACCCGTGCCCTGGGCCCGCAGACCCCGCCGGCGCCAGAGGCACTGCTGGCCTCCGGTGCCCGGCTGGGCGCAGCGCCCGCATGCCCGGAGCCTGCTCTCAGGGCCGGTGGCGGCCGTGTGGGTCCCGGTGGTCTCACAGATGGCTGCCCGAGAGGGCTGACCGCGGCAGTGTCCAGCACTGGGGATGGGGGCCGAGGCGGCCCCGCCCCTGCCCCCCCGCCCCAGCCCCCGTCTCACGTGCGCTCGGGCGTCTCACGGCGGGACAAGGCTCAGGCCTCCTCGCCGTGGCCGCTGAGGGTCCCGCTGTGCCCACGGCGTGCCCACCACGTCTGCCCGGCCCGGCCAGCTCCCCCCATCTCCACCTGGCGCCCCAAACGCTGGACACACGAGCCGGCCCCCGCGGTCTGCCGCGCCCCGGCCACGCCTGTCCCGTCTCCCCCACGCGGGCCCCGCGGGTCAGCAGACGAGGCTCCTGCCAAGCAAGGCCGAGTGGCGCCGGCCCTGGCTGCCCGCGTTCACACGCTGACGGCGCCCAGAGCGCCCGGAGCGAGCCGCAGGCCCTCATGCCCAGCGCGTGGCCGCGGGCTTGGGAAGCTCCGCGGCGAGGAGGCCTGAGCCTTG